AGAAACAATAAGAAACTGATCGAAAACAGATTTTGGCTGTGATTAAGCATTATTCTGATTGTTCTGAGAAACGTACAAGTTAACCGGCGATATCAGAGTAAAGAGTTTCATAACGTTTATTCGTAAGTCAGAAGAAATACAAAACATTACGCGTACAACCAGCGCGAGCAGATCTTACAGCGCGAAATATGAAGTCCTGTTTTCTGGCAACCTGAAAAACTCATGATCACCTTTTCCCATTGCCTCAGAACAAAAATGCGCCAAAAACCTTCCTTCTTCATATAGACGGGAGTTTCGTGGAATTTCTTTAGAAATCTAAGTTCCAGTGTAAGTAAGCGGAATTTGCTCGTTTTAGTAGACCCCAGTCTACTGCATCACACCTTTTTGCTCGGACCCGGTCTAAATACTCCTCATAACAACGGGCTTCAAAACCTCGGCTTGGTGTCGAGACTGACAAAAGCGCGTGATTTTCGGTCTCTTATTCAAGTTTGCTTTACGTGTGGGCGAAACGTGAAAGCAGCTTTGTATATTAGCGGAAACAATCTTAAAAACACACTTCAAATGAGCATACGTACATAGTCGCTCGGGTGTGACCGTTGAACAAAGGCGTGATTCAAGCTTTTACGCTGACTCAACGCATAATCGGATTTCCGACATATCACAGACGTCGTAGTTTTATTGATGTGTGTGTTTTGGGTGAGATTATGTAAACACTAATGTTACTTGACGTTATATTTCTTGCCTGTACTTTCACAAATTAAAATGTGTTCGAAACGCGATACCAATTTAGATTAACTCGGGAAATCTCTTGCGTTAGTTTTACTATCGCGTTTTGAAAATACACCCGCGCGGTTTAAAATGTTTGCAGTTAAATTGTAGCCATTCGGTTTTTTGCGGGATGACGAATATATTATGGAACGCAACAAAGGAAACGTTTTCTGATTGGTTCTTGTAAATTCCTGTAATTGATGAACCCTGCCGAGCTTCTAGCTGTGACGTATTGTCTGACTTCTTAAGATAAAGTGATCAGCGAAAGAACATTTCATCACACTTTGCTTTTCTACTTTGAAAAAGCCACAGCGATCGAGATTTTAGAGACTGCCAGGTAAACACTATCCATGTTAGCTTGTGTGCGGTTTGACTTCTATTTACGCTTACGGTGCTTCACTCTGTTTTATTAATCACTTACGATTTATACATTTCAATCACTCGACTTTGCATTCCACGTATGATATTCACAGTAAAGATGTCAGACAAACCGGATTTATCAGAAGTAACCAAGTTCGACACTTCAAAACTCAAAAAAACCAACACCGAAGAGAAGAATACTCTGCCAACAAAGGAAAGTAAGTAATGGGTCGGTGTATTTCCATGAGCAATGCTTTCAAGCGACTGAATGTAAATTCAGACATAAGTCGTATTTATCTGTCTGTAGAAAATGAACAACGCAGACATATTTGACTATTTTGGGAAAATGGAAAAATAACGCGTCATAACAAGGATAGCAAGCAATTTTGAATTTATTCTGTTGATGTTCATAAGATGAATCTGAATTTTTCTCTTTTTTTTAACTCCATTGGGCGCGACCACACTATTTTGTTGACTGTAACTTAATAATGCATATCACATGTTCGGTGTTCCAAAATCATTTATGGTAAAGTGCTTTTTAACCTTTCATCTCATTTGAGCAGCTGTGAAATTAATCCCTGTTATTACTTGTTTTTGTTTTAGCTATCGCACAGGAGAAACAAGGTTAAAAATTGAAAGCCAAGACGAAATATTGCCAGTGACGATGAGACAATATTAAAAATACCAGAAAAACTGTATTCTTCGTAATTGATTGCAACGTTTATGTTTTATTTGCTATGATTTAGTCAACTTTTCAGATCACTGTAATGTAATATGTAACGTAGAGTCAATGGAACAAAAGAACGTCGAGCGAAAGAAGAAGTTATTGAGCCAAACTGGTTCATGTAACGTTTTTCTAGTGTGGAATAAATCTTATCTCTTGGCAATCAATTTGCTTTGTCTCTATTTTTAATTGCGCGCTATCATTCGGAAATCAACATCAGACTTAGTATGGAAATGATTATGAATAATTAACGTATACCGCTTTGTTTGACGAGCGATGTTTTGCCTTCATGACATAAACGTTTCATGAACAATAAAACCAAGCGAGCAAGAGACAACAAGGGGTATAAATATATTTTTTGTGAATTATGATTTCAGCAAAGTCTTCATTTAAAAGTCAGTAGGAATGAGCAAAAAACTATAAGATGCGTGACACTAAGCAATGAATTAAGGGGCTCAAAAGGCTCTTTGAAGTGTCAAATAGTTGCTTGTAGAATAAACGTTTCGGGATTGACCCTTCTTCAGTTGGTGAAGAAAGAACAAGCCCGAAACGTTTAGTTTACAAGCAACTATTTGACACTTTCGCGCCTCGTATTTAAGTCCTCATTTAGTTCGACGCCTGGGAAGGGACATGGGAAGAGGTTGCCGAGGGTGGATCATTCGATCTGGGAAATATTGCTTCTGAAATAGTCCAAGACCAAAATTTTAACCCGCCAAACTGACATTTTCTCATTGATTTCTTTATTCTTATCACTTGTAGTCTGACATATTGTTGAAACTGTTTGGAGAAACTATTTGCTGATCATTTGTAACTTCAGGTCTGTGCATTACTTTTTACTGTTCGCCATGTGACTGTTTTATCGATATTGAAAATATTGTAGTTTTTTGTTTGGCCATTTTACATTATGAGATCGCTCGAGTACATTTACCAACTGACTGTCGATCGAATTAAAGACAGCACTTTGTTTGATGGCAAGAATCCGTTCCTATGAAAATTTCTCATAAAAAATCTAATTCTTGAAGTAACATGGATTTTTTTGCTTACGTGGATCCTATAATTAAATTGTCAGTCCTGGAGAACGGGCAATGGGGAAGGGGAGGGGGGTCGTTTCAGTCTGTCTCCACCAGTATATTTTCACACTAGCAACAGGGGCTGAGTGAAACATGGCGAAGAAACAATAGACCATATTTACATTTTCAAACGATGACAGCTTTGCGAGAACTGGCCTCTTCGCGCGCAGAGTACACTTATGAAAAAGCGAGACAGGCGAAGACATAAAAAAAAATAATAAATAAGAAAAAAATACGGTATTCTTTAATTAAAGAAAAACGGAAGAGTACTTTTATCAAAGTAAAGCACCAATTATACTGTGACTGCGACAACCTGTCGTGATCATTCCGGCTATTGGCCGACGAATGAAAACAACCAAAAATCCATATTAATAAATCATGAGATAATCCGAACTCGAATTCTCTCATCGGGAGTAAGTGCAAAGTTTTAAAAAGGTACCAAAAAGGAAACTAAAATATAAACTTTGCCAAGGCGAGCAGAGCGAGGTATTTAATTTCACAACAATCGGAAGACATCATGCCACTCACGAGAAAGTCACATGGATAGCACTCAACGGAAGTCACGAGACACGAAAAAAGCCAAGAAAAGTCGAGGAAGTCACACGCTGTCACATCAGATGCCGGTGGCAAGCGTGTGAAGCAAGATGGTGGCTGCTGAATTGTGTAAGATTGTGGTGGTTGCACTTGCGGTTATTTCTGTAGGAGAAGCGTTTCGTCTTCAGGCTCGCTTCCCTCGCCCTCAAGGAAAGGATTTCGAGCATCATGCCAAGAGACATTTGTGTAAGTTTTGCATTTACGAGACAAGGACGTTTCGCCAAAAGGTGAGTGATACGTGACTACGATAGCATTATTTCTCCTTCACATTTCACAAAACTCTCCGTTGATCTCACTTTCGATCGTACGAGCTTTAAACTGTTTCTTTTTTTCAACCGAAAGCAGCAGTACTCTAATTCCATGTTTGGTATAACGGAATGACATTTTGGTGTAGATTTTCCTGTGGGTTATTTTGGTGTCTTGCTGACACCGGTTTAACGTTACCGTCACGCTATCCTCTTTGATATGGTTTTCAAAACGCTTTAATCAACATCAATTTTAATTGTAAATGATTTGAATCCTTTCCTGGTCTGAAGTGAAATAATTTCTTTTACAATTCCGCAGCTGGATCACTTCAACTTTAACAACAATCGAACCTTTCTGCAACGCTATCTTGTCGCCATGAAAAAATGGGATAAGGGAGAACCGATTTTCTTCTACACCGGAAATGAAGGAGATATCACTTGGTTTGCCAATAACACAGTAAGTAGTGAAATCAGCTAGACCATTCATAAATTCCTGGTTAACTTATTTGAGGTGCAGCTCGGAGGAATTTAGGGGGAGGGGGTGGAGTTGAATCCTGACTCTTCCCCAGTCCTCTGCTGTCGGATGATAGTCATTAGGGGACTGGAACTCTGGGAAAAGCTGGGACATTAGTAGAGTGGTGACAACCAGAGACGACATTATGGAAATCAGAAAATTAGACAGTGCTGCTTTTCAGCTGTTATGTCATTTGCTGAAACATGGTTGGAGCTGTAACAGACCGGAAGATGCTGTGTTACAAAACAATTGCGGTGCAACCTCCAATAAACCCGGGAAAAACTAGATTCTCTGTGCTGCTTTTTCCTTCATTCTTCCAGAAGTTGTGGCCAGCAAGTTGAGGCTTCGAATGAAATATCAAATTTCAATTTTTCCAGAAGCAAGAGGGAGGGCTGGCAACATGTACCTTCTCCCTAAATCAGCCCATGCAAACGATAAATAAAATTGACTGCAATTCTAGGATCGAGAAATCGAACGTGGACAGTAATTGCTTTATGTCTTCTATACAGGGATTCATGTGGGACATTGCTGACGAGTTCAAAGCGATGTTAGTGTTTGCAGAGCATAGATACTACGGCAAATCGCTACCGTTTGGAAAAGAATCTTACAAGGTTGGTGGAAGGTTTGTAGCTGTATGGTAGTAACCAATTATGGCTATTTAAATCTCATCCATCAGTGAAACAATAATTGCACGTAGTAGCTTTGATTGTCTCTTCATCAGGACATTTCTGTTTTAAGGGGTATTAACTGTTCTTTTTTAATTTAGGGACCACAATATTTAGGATATTTGACATCGGAACAAGCGTTGGCAGACTTTGCTGTTCTCATTCGTCACCTTAAGGTAAACATTAGACTCGGAAGCAGGTGTTCCTTTGGCTCATCACGAAGATTGAGTGACGAGCCCAGATAAGGTCTGCGTAAACATTCACTTAACTATGGTTTCTGGAGTTACCCTAGCAGTCTTATTTTGGCTCGTCACGCAACGGAGGTGGGGATTTCAATACGACTCAAATCTAAAGAAATTGTCCAACAGTATTCAGCTGGTTAGACAATTTAAACTTTCTGGGGTATTCCTCATTCACGCAGTAGTACGTTTCTTGTTGGTGATAAAGTTAAACTAAACGAGGAACCTGTTAGAGTACTTAGAACAGTCTGTTTCAGTATGACAGTTGGACAATTATGTAAAACACAGAATTCAACACAACTGTTTTATTACCCCTCCCCCTCCCCCCACCTCCCGCGGAGGC